GCATCAGAGAGCACCAATATGATGATCCGCATTTGCTTGTCCTTAAGGATAGAGTTCAGCACGATGATGTCAGGGATGTGACTATAGGTGATGATGGGGTGTTGAGGATGCAAGGTCGGATTTGTGTGCCTAATATGGATGGGCTTCGGGAATTGATTATGGAGGAGGCCCATAGCTCGCGGTATTCCATTCATCCGGGTGCCACTCAGATGTATCAGGATCTGAGACAGCATTATTGGTGGAGAAGAATGAAGAAAGACATTGTGGGATTTGTAGTTTGGTGTCTCAATTGTCAGCATGTGAAATATAAGCATCAGAGACCAGGTGGCTTGCTTCAGTGGATGGATATTCCCGAGTGGAAGTGGTAGAGGATCACTATGGACTTTGTTGTTGGACTTCCACGGACTTTGAGGAAGTTTGATGCTATTTGGGTGATTGTGGATCGGCTGACCAAGTTCGCGCACTTCATTTCTGTGTGTACTACCTATTCTTCAGAGCGGTTGGCAGAGATCTATATCCGGGAGATTGTTCGTTTGCATGGTGTCCCAATTTCCATCATTTCAGGTAGGGGCACTCAGTTTACTTTACAGTTTTAGAGGTTTGTGCAGCAAGAGTTACGTACTCAGGTTGAGTTGAGCACAACTTTTCACCCTCAGACAGACGGGCAGTCCGAGCGTACTCTCTAGATATTGGAGGACATGTTGCATGCTTGTGTCATTGATTTCGGAGGGTCATGGGATCAGTTTCTACCGCTTGCAGAGTTTTCTTATAACAACAGCTACTAGTCGAGTATTCAGATGGCTCCATATGAGGCTTTCCAGTTGGTTGGTTTGAGCCCGGTGAGGCTAGGCTATTGGGGACAGACTTGGTGTAGGATGCTTTAGAAAAGGTGAAGGTAATTCAGGAGAGTCTTCGTATAGTGCAGTCGAGGCAGAAGAGCTATGCTGATAGGAAGGTTCGGGATGTGTCCTACATGGTTGGCGAGAAGGTTTTGTTGAAGGTTTCACCCATGAAGGGTGTTATGAGATTTTGGAAGAAAGGGAAACTGAGTCCTCGGTTTATTGGGCCTTTTGGGGTGCTTCAGAGGATTGGGGAGGTGGTTTATGAGCTTGTTTTGCCACCCAGCTTGTCGAGTGTGCATCCAGTATTTCATGTTTCTATGCTCCAGAAGTATATTGGGGATCCGTCTCATGTTTTGGATTTCAGCATGGTTCAGTTGGATGATGATTTGACTTATGATGTGGAGCCAGTAGCTATTTTGGGTCATCAGGTTCAAAAGTTGAGGTCAAAGGATATAGTTTTAGTGAAAAGCAAGTGGAGAGGTCGGCCCGTGGAGGAGGCTACCTGGGAGACCGAGCGGGAGATGCGGAGCAGATATCCTCACCTGTTTAAGGCTTCATGTATGTTTCTTGACTCGTTCGAGGACGAACGTTTGTTTAAGTTGGGGAGGATATGATGACCCGGCCAGTCGGCTCATGAGTTATCGCTATGTTTCCCCCATTTCTACTTCTTTATGCTTTGTTATTCGTGTTTGTGATATCGGGTTGGTCGGATCGAATTCGGAATTATTTTGGTAAGGTTTGAGACACTTAGTCTCTTTTAAGAAAGCTTAAGTTGGAAAAGTCAACCGGATGTTGACCTATGTGTTAGAGTGCTCGGATGTAAGTTTCGATGGTTCAGTTAGCTTCGGGAGGTGATTTATGACTTAGGAGCGTGATCGGAATGAGTTTTGAAGGTTTGGAGTAGATTTAGGCTTGAATTGGCGAAGTTTATATTTTGACAATTTCCGGTTGATAGGCGAGATTTTTATATAGGGGTCAGAATGGAATTCCGAGAGTTGCAGTAGTTCCGTTGAGTCATTTAGGATGTGCGTGCAAAATTTAGGTCATTCGGACGTGGTTTGGTTGCATTTTTTATCAAAATCATAATTCGGAAGATTTTAGAAAATTTGGCTTGAATCTGATGTGTTTAGCTTGATTCAATGTTGTTCGAGATGTTTTGAAGATTGGCACAAGTTTGAATAAGGCATTAGGATATGTTTGTGCTTTTGGTTGAGGTTCCGGGGGCCTCGGGGTGATTTCGGATGGTTAACAGAGAAGTTTGGACTTTGTTGCAGCTGCTGAATTAGTTGCTTCTGGTATTTCCGCATCTACGGATTGGGGACTGCATGTGTGGTGCCGCATAAGCGGAGGAATTGATCGCAGGAGCGAAAATGGCTTGAGGAGCAGGAACCGCAAAAGCGGGTAAGAGGACCGCATCTGCGATGTCGCAGATGCGGACTAAGGTGAGTAAGTGATCTCTGTAGAAGCGGAGGAAGAACCGCAAATGCGGTACCGCAGAAGCAGAAATATAGCCGCAGATGCGAAAATCCCTGGCCAGAAGGTATATATTGCTTTCTTCGCGAATTTTTGCAAAATACTCCATTTTTGAAGACGGGAAAGAGGCTAAAGCATATGATTTCAAGAGGAATCAAAGGATATCAGTTGGGTAAGTTTACTAGGCTTAATTAATTGGGTTTAAGATCATTTTTCATTGTTTAATCATGGTTTTTGTGGAGATTAAGGAAGAAAAAATTGGGGATTAGGGCTTAAGATTAAGAGACATTTAAATGGGGATTTGAGGGGTCATTTGGACTCCGATTTCAGTGTTCTTGATAGGTATAGACTCGTGGGAGGATAAGGATTTCGTTGATGTGATTTTTATCGAGTTTCGAGACGTGGGCCCAGGGGTCGGGTTTTGGTAATTTCAGGATTTTTGGTATTATTTAATTGTTTTCGCTTGGGCTTCGTTCCCTTAGCATATTTTGACGCTGTGATTCTAATTTTGGATAGATTTGACACGAGTGGAGGCCGATTCAAGGGGCAAAGACGTCGTGGAGTAGTATTTTCACCGGTTTGAGGTAAGTAACCATTGTAAATCTGGAACTGAGGGTACAAACCCCGATATTTGACTTGTTTTGGTAAATGCGGTGACGCACATGCTAGGTGACGAGCGTGTGGGCGTGCACCGATAGGGATTGTGACTTGGTCCGTCCCGTAGCGACTATTAAGCCACGTGTTTGAATTGGAACCTTATGATATTCTGTACTTTAGCTGTTGATACTATATTATGGGTTGTATGCCATGTTTGGGGCCTTGGGCCGACCTGTTGAGACCCTTAGAGGCATTTTTACTGTTTTCCTCACTTTACTTGTTGAAAGCATATCCTTAGTCATGTTTTACCTGTTAAAATGTTTAAAAATTGGTTTTCTCACTCCACTTCTAACTGTGAGGACTGTTGGGGCTGAGTTCCCTAATTTCTATTGTTGTGCCCGAGAGGTTGTGAGGTTAATGACTGAGAGAGGTTGAGAACCTAATAGTGAGGATATTATATGTATATATTATGGATCGGGCTGTACGCCGCAACAATATATATACTGGATCGGACTGCACGCCGCAGCAATATATGTATTGGGTCGGGTTGCGCGCCGCAGTGATATGACGTTTGGGCTGTAGGAGCCCCTCCAGAGTCTGTACACCCCCAGTGAGCGTAGTCGACTATAAATGACGGATCGGGCTGCACGCCACAGTGGTTAGGGCGAACGACACAAATAGCCACTAAAAGCAGCGGCTTTTATTTTAAAGTCACTGTTTTCAATGTATTTAGACTTTAGCCACTCCTTTAAAAAACTTATACCTGACTAGACGAAAATACCCTTCTGGTATAACTTATACCTACGCTATCAACACAAGCAGCAGTTACACAAAGAGAAGAAGCGAGCAGTAGCAGCAGTTACCACAGCGGCGATCAACTGAGGACGAACCACCATTTCTCTTCCCGATATAAAAAATTCAGCATTCTAATCCAAAAAAACGACATAGATAAACAGTAAGTTGTAATTTCATGTGTTTCTATCGATTTTTATTTCGCTATAGCTATACTTTTTTAGATCTGTATTGATTTGATTATATATTAGATAAGAATTTGATTTTTTTTTTGAATTTCTGGATTGATAAATTTATAGACATTGCCTCCTATGATAATTCTGTATTCCGAACATAGTGTCTTCATTTTGGAAATTGAATTCAAAAAAATAAGAACACTATGTCCTTAACTTTGATTCTATTGGTCTCATTTTGCAAATTGAATAAAAAAAACTTAAGGACAAAATGTCCTTCACTTTGTTGTTGTTCTTCTGTATACAAAGTCCTGTAGCTTGAGTTTCAAATTGTATGTTTTAATTTCTGGTTCAAATGTTAAGAACTGACAGTCCGTAACTTTTAAATACATGTTTAAATGTTAAGGACTAGCAGTCCTTAACTTTTAATTCCATGTTTAAATGTTAAAAGACAGGCAGTCCTTAGCTTTTAATTTCTGGTTCAAAAGTTAAGGACTGACAGTCCTTAATTTTTTAATTCCATGTTTAAATGTTAAGGACTGACAGTCCTTAACTTTAATTACATGTTTAAATGTTAAAGGACAGACAATCCTTAGCTTTTAATTTCTAACTTTTAATTCCATGTTTAAATGTTAAGAACTGACAGTCCTTAACTTTTAATTCCATATTTAAATGTTAAGGACTGACAGTCCTTAACTTTAATTACATGTTTAAATGTTAAAGGACAGACAGTCCTTAGCTTTTAATTTCTGGTTCAAAAGTTAAGGACTGACAGTCCTTAACTTTTAATTCCATGTTTAAAACTTAAGGACTGACAGTCTTTAACTTTAATTATATGTTTAAATTTTAAAGGACATGCAGTCCTTAGCTTTTAATTTCTGGTTCAAAAGTTAAGGACATGCAATCCTTAAGTTTTAATTTCTGGTTCAAAAGTTAAGGACAGACAGTCCTTAAGTTTTAATTTCTTGTTCAAAAGTTAAGGACTTAACTTTTAATTCCATGTTTAAATGTTAAGGACAGACAGTCCTTATCTTGGTCTTGCACTTACAATACACTTGTTCTTAATTCTACAAGGATTGCTTTATAACGTATGTCCTTTGTTTCCCATTCTATTGACTTGTAGGATGGAAACAATATGCATAATAGTTGCTTTTAATGGTAGATGGACTGAAGATTATAAATATCTTGATCATCAAACAAAGCTTTTCCTAGCACCTGAGCCAATTCAGTTTGAAGATTTCGTTAAACAGATTTTTGAGCTTATTGAATTGGATAGTGAAAAGTTTGAAATAGTGATATGGTTTGATATCAACCTTGGAACAAGCAAAGGAATGCTTGTATCCAAAGATTTAGATCTTCACACATGTATAGAGTTGCTAAAAACTCATTCACTCTTCAAGAGCTGTCGTTTCATAGTTGATATTTCGGAAAGAGTTTTTGCATCAACAAGCAATGAACATGCCAACACAAAAACTCAACATGACAATCAAGAGCTATGCCAACAGATAGTTGAAGTAGATATGGTTGAAGCTCAACCATTAAATGAAGAGGTGCATCAAACATTTGATTCTATTCAAGTAGAAGGACAAAACATTATAGAGATTGACAACGAACAAGCTTTGGGTATTCAAGTCTTAGAGAGTGCACCGGTAATCGAAGTAGTTGCTGACAAAACCTGCACTCAAATAACTAGACGAAGATCAAATTTGAAACAAAAAGAATCCCCAACTACGATATTAAGAGAAAATGCTTCTTTGGAGAAAATAAAAGTCGGATAAGTATTTGACAAGAAGAAGAGCATAATTAACTGTTTTTCCAATATAGCAATCAAATGACATTTTGAATTCAAAGTTGTTATNAAGGTCTTCCCTGTTGATTCATGGCGTTCTAGAGTTGAAGAAGAAGGAATAACTTTCTTGGTAGACTTAAACAAAAGAACATGTGATTGTTTTCAATTTCAACTTGATGAATTGTCATGCATACATGCAATTGCAGTTATCGAGAAGAGAAACATCAAGAAGTCCGACTTTTGCTCGCACTGGTACTTAAAGGAATCTTGGCTGAAAACATATGAAAGACAAATACATCCTGTAGGACATACTGATTCTTGGATTGTACCAGAGAGTTTTAAGTCACAAATTGTTAAACCTCCAGATTTCAAAGTGCCACCAGGTAGAAGGCAAAAGAAAAGGCATATTCCTGCTACCGAGCCATCAAAAATAACATTCAAATGTGGTCGTTGCAGAAGAATTGGTCATAATAGAACAGCTTGTATATATTCTCCGGCACTCCATCCATTTTCAAGAAAGCATAGAGAAGAGTAGAAATATACACTTATGTTTATCGACTCTTTTAAGTTTTTGCTATAGATTGTATTCATTATTATTCTAATTTGAGCGGATGCCTAGATTTTCAATATTTATATCTTGTTACGTTCTTTTAATTTCTTTTGAGTTCAACAATTAAAAGTTATTAACAGGAGTCAGTAAGTTCAACTTGCAATTTTGAAAACGTAATGACTGTCTGTCCTTAACTTTGAATTTCAAGTTCAAAAGTTAAGGACATGAGGTCCTTAAGTTATAGTCTCATGTTAAAAACTTAAGGACTGTCTGTCCTTAACTTTGAATTTTAAGTTCAAACGTTAAGGACATGAGGTCCTTAAGTTATAGTCCCATATTAAAAACGTAATGACTGTCTGTCCTTAACTTTGAATTTCAAGTTCAAAAGTTAAGGACATTAGGTCCTTAAGTTATAGTCCCATGTTAAAAACTTGAGGACTGTTTGTCATTAACTACATGAGTCCTTAAATTTGAAATACAAGTTAAAAACGTAATGACTGTCTATCCTTAACTTTGAATTTCAAGTTCAAAAGTTAAGGACATGAGGTCCTTAAGTTATAGTCCCATGTTAAAAACTTGAGGACTGTTTGTCATTAACTACATGAGTCCTTAAATTTGAAATACAAGTTAAAAACGTAATGACTGTCTATCCTTAACTTTGAATTTCAAGTTCAAAAGTTAAGGACATGAGGTCCTTAAGTTATAGTCCCATGTTAAAAACTTGAGGACTGTTTGTCATTAACTACAAGAGTCCTTCAATTTGAAATACAAGTTAAAAATTTAAGGACTGTCTGTCCTTAACTTTAAATTTTAAGTTCAAACGTTAAGGACATGAGGTCCTTAAGTTATAGTCCCATGTTAAAAACTTGAGGACTGTTTGTCATTAACTACAGGAGTCAAGTTTGAAATACAAGTTAAAAACTTAAGGACTATCTGTCCTTAACTTTAAATTTTAAGTTCAAACATTAAGGACATAGGTCCTTAAGTTATAGTCCCATGTTAAAAACTTGAGGACTGTTTGTCATTAACTACAGGAGTCCTTAAATTTGAAATACAAGTTAAAAACTTAAGGACTATCTGTCCTTAACTTTAAATTTTAAGTTCAAACATTAAGGACATAGGTCCTTAAGTTATAGTCCCATGTTAAAAACTTGAGGACTGTCTGTCCTTAACTTTGAATTTTAAGTTCAAAAGTTAAGGATATGGGGTCCTTAAGTTATAGTCCCATGTTAAAAACTTGAGGACTGTTTGTCATTAACTACAGGAGTCCTTAAATTTGAAATACAAGTTAAAAACTTAAGGACTGTCTGTCCTTAACTTTAAATTTTAAGTTCAAACGTTAAGGACATGAGGTCCTTAAGTTATAGTCCCATGTTAAAAACTTGAGGACTGTTTGTCATTAACTACAGGAGTCATTAG